TGTCGACAGTTGGCGACGTGCTATTACCTAACCCACCACCCTGTGAGGATCTTAGAGATGTGAAACAGGTGAAAGAAAAGAGTATGACAGATAAAAGACTTTTTATGTCAGATCGCCCCTTCACCAGTCTATCAGTAGCTGCCACCAGTGTTTCTTCTGTGAAGATCGCTCCAAAGGTTCTGCAGTATGAGGCCACACCAGAAGTGATGCTTGACCCAAGCAAACTGAGCAACAATAGAGGATCAAAAGAAGCAACTAAGTTTGGTAAATAACTCTTGTTGTAATTTTGCAGCTTGTCTCTGTCTTTTGCACTTTGTTATTTTAATCAAGTCAATATTTTGGTTTGTTAGCTAAAGAATTGAAGCAGCTGCCAATATCGCCTATATCACAAACTTCTGGAAGCACATCTTCAGTTAGATCATGCAAGAATGAAGATCAGAAGCCTTTGCACCATGTAAAAACAGTAGCCCTCCGCTTGATTTTTTTTATTTTCTTTTTAAATGATTCAGTAGCTTAACTCAGTTCCTCAATTCAATTCACATCAGGGTGCAGAATTGATCCATAAGGATGATAAAACGAAGGACCATACCTTTTTAAGCAACATTAGGCAGGCAGCTTCTGTTGACAATCGATTAGCACGATGCCAAAGGTGTAACGAATCAGGTCATTCCACACAATTCTGTGCAGTTGACAAACTTCACATGTCTGCCATGAAACCTTCTTTGAAACGAAATTCAAAGGATGTGGATTACAGAAGCGGTAAGTGGAAAGATGCAGTGGATGTTTTTACGTTGGAATCTGGAACAAAAAGGACTGCAAGATCACCTGATCAATCTATGGAAGTTTCTATGTCCAGTGGTGATGTACATTCTGAAGCAACATCCAAAGATTTTCCATCAAGTTTGATAAGTTCTAGAAACTTGGCTTTCATGGAACATGCATCTGTTGCACAAGATTTTAGCAATACAGCAAATGCCATTCATGTGAAACAGAAAGTGGAGGACCGTAAGAAATATACATTTCTTCCTAGAAAAGTTACACCTCTCGACTTTGCAGATGACCTGAATATGCAGCCTGTCATACAAACGTTGCCTGATCAAGTTTCCATGCCATTGCATCTATTAAGAGCTTCAGTAATTCCAGAGCTTGACTGCATTTGGGAGTATGATATATTGTTTTTCAGTTTATGTGGTGATTTTGGATGTCCTTAAATATTAATCATCTAGATGATGCAATAGCATTTATATAATGTCCAGCATTATGATCCTTTGTAAATGTATTATTATATGCAGAGGTGTCTTTGAAGTGTTGAAAATTGCCAAGCCTCCTGCATTTTTGGATGGTATTCAGGCTCACTTGTCAAGTTATGTCTCACCTAAGGCACTTGAATTGGTAAAGAAATTTCCTTGTAAAGTCCAACTGGAGGAAGTGCCTCGTCTAAGCGCCTGGCCATTCCAGTCTCATGAGAATAGTCCTAAAGAAGATAACATTGCTCTTTTTTTCTTTGCTAAAGATACAGAAAGGTCATTTGATTGAGTACTTTTTTTTATTGTGAATTATTATAGGATTTGAATGTTGATATAGTATTTGATGTTTATATATGCTCCATCTTATGCAGTTATGAAAAGTCCTATTTGAATCTGTTGGAAGATATGCTCAAAAATGATTTGGCTCTCATAGGGAATATTGATGCAGTGGAACTTCTTATACTCCCGTCAAATTTGTTACCAGCAAATTCACAGTGTAAGCATTGGATTTGACTGTAATTACCTAAGCAAGGGGGAGACTAGATGGGGTTATTTCTACATAGTTTGTTGTATAATATCACAATCTGCATTATTGATGTAATTTTATATATTCCTGTTCTTCATATAGGACAAGCAATTATCTGATTTAGAAGTTGCTCTCTGCTATTTCAGGCTGGAACAAGTTATTTTATCTTTGGGGTGTTTTTAGAGGAAGAAATATAAGTTGCTTTACAGACTTGCCTGATCTGGAGAAAAAGCCTTCTGTTTCCAGTTTGAATTTGGAACCTACTGTCCAAGATCAATCTATCCCAGATTTTTCAGGACTTTGTAGTTCTTATGAAATATATGATGAGAATTCTCAGGAGCTGTCAAGGTTTGACAAATTCCCCAAGGCAAAAGCGATTATCTCTAGTTCCTGCTCAAATATTCAGGATGTTCCCTGTTCAGGAAACAAGGATAGGATCCTTAACATAAAGCAGATTCCTCCTGTTCAGAACTTGCATCTTGCTGTTTGTGGTGATAAAGTTCTTACGGAGCAGACTTCATGCTCATGTTCTGCAAGCTGCCCATATACTAATGTGAGCCAGCTTCCTAATGTTCCTGTTGCTTATCCAGAGCCAAAGCTTCAGATAGACATTGAACAGTTGCCATTGGAAATGGAGAATGATCTCACTGACCTAGTAAGTATTTTATTTTTGCGCTCAGTGCATACTTATGGTCTTTTTCTTTTTCCAGTAACATTTGTATGTCCCATTCAATTTGGTTGGAGTATTTGATGGTTTCAGACATGATTTGCATCTTAAAACAAACGATGTAACCTGTATCTAATTGCTCAATTTTCTGCTTCTATGGTTCACTCGACAACTAGGATCTCACTAAATAGTCAAAATTCTCAGGATCTTTCTCTAGCACACTCACGCAAAATATACAAGCATAAAAGAGCAAGATGCTTGCATTTCATATGAATATAACATCTCATCTGATGGTTATCCTATGAAGTCCTAGTATTTTTAGTCAAGAGGTTGGTCACCTTGTTCTGAGCACTAAGACTTGGTACCAGCACTGTTCTAACACCAAATGAACCGTAAGCCCCATAATTTGATACGAGCTGGTTTTGATACCATTCATACCGACCTTAGAATTCACCTTAAAGCACATGCAAAGGTTAGTTCTGTTGAAGTTAGTTCTAATTCAAAGTTGAAACCAAGGTTCGCAATACCGTACCGTATCGGAGTTTCGATTTGGGCTCGGTACCGGTACGGTACGGTATACCGCTCGGTACACCCAGGTGTACCGAGCGGTATATTCAGGCGTGCCGAGCACTGTAGCAGTGCTACACCGCTACAGTACTGCTACAGTGTCGGAACAGTAACATATGGTCCGCGTACCGAAAGTCTGTCGGACCGGTACGTACCGCCCATACCAGACGGTACGGATCGGTACTGCAAACCATGGTTGAAACCACGTATTACAATTTTATCATCTCCTGTCTGTTGGTTCTTGAACCTCACCTACTTGCCCAATGTGATTCTGTATGATAGGGCAAACTCGCCGGTGATTCAGAAGGCAGCAAAGATTCTGAACATCATGCTAATGCCAGTAGTACAAGCATTAGTAATTGTGAAGAACCCGTATTTTTGGTGTTATTTAATTGCCAGCAAGGTGAGTCATTTTAAGATTATGCATGCTATTTGATCTATAATAAAGGCATTCTCATGTTCTCTACACTTGTTCAAGCAGGCAATGCCAGAAATGTTCAGAAAATCAAGCAAAAAGAGAAATTCATAACAAGTGAAGCTGTTCCTGATGATCAAGTATCAGATGCCATAAAGTTAGACGATCTTAGCTGGGAATCGAGGCATAATAAGAAACGTCGACTGCCTAGCTCTGCGGAAACAATTATAAAACCGACTGCCGATAGAATGCTGTGGAAAGATGAAGCAAGCTGCACATCTATGAATGATACAGAACTTAAAAAGATGAGGCTTGATAATGGAGGGCATGCTGCTTGTAGCTCTAGGGAAGAAACTCTAAGCAGTGGATTACCCTCAAAGATACATCCTTTGCCATCTGGCTGCTTGAATGATGGTATCGGCTGCGACACAATGTGTGAGAGCTCAAAAAATGCTGAAAGATTCTTCCCGATCGATTTAGGTACTGCAACAAGTACAAAGGCAGACAACTTAATCTATGTTCTTTCTTCAGACGACGAAGATTCACCTGAATCTATGGCTCCAGATCTTGAGCTAGCCCTGTGGGGAAAGAAGAGACCACCAAAAACAGATTCCTCACCTTGGCTATCTCCAAATGTTGGAATAAAACGTAACCCAGATAAGCCGCTTGCTCCTGCGGTTGATGACAGAGATGATATGCTAGCTTCCCTTTCACTCTCACTAGCTTTTCCTGCTACCGAGAAGCCGCGGTCTGACAAACCTATGACACAAGATGAGCAACTTTTGCCTGATAAACCTTGTATTAACACATCTTTGCTTCTTTTTGGTGGCTATACAGATACCTAAATCAATTCGGAGCACGTATAGCTTGTAAATTATCTTTTGTAAGTAGCCATAATACAGTCCCCTTGCCATCCGTTTGATAACCATACAACAGACAATTGCTTCAACTTGGTATGTTCTATGTAGTTGCTTCTGAGTGCATTCAACTTGATTTAGCGTATAGGAGATGGCGAACTGGCATCAAATTATTGGGGTTCCATTGGCATATTTTATGTAAGTCTTTCTTGTGAGTTAGTCATATTTATGAGTTTAAGTTTTGATTAGTTAAGAAATCATATATATATATATATATTAGCAACATAAACTATCGGCTAGAAGAAATGACAGATTGAGCTGCATGCGAAAGGATAAAATGAGCAATCCATGTTTAAAGGGCAGAGATGGGATGGATATCATCACCGTTTGGATAAGCTTGTCTACGCCTGCGCCTTCGTTGTGCGACGGCTTTCCGTTCGTTCGTTTCTCGAACTCACCCATTTCGGCCGTCGGGTCAACGGCCAATGAGCCCCATTGTGGTGTGGATCCCACATGTGGCCCACGTAGCAGCAGTACGGGTCGCTACGAACTGTCGCGTCGGGTGTTGATCTCATCAAAGCGCCGTAACTAAAACAATACCAGAATTACGGCCGAGGGAGTTCGTCATCCGCCCAACTATAATTAGAAGCACTTGTGTCGAGTTCCTATTGGTTGGGGCCCTGGGGGCGTTGGCGGGGTCCACTGAGTGTACACCCTTCAAATGCCGGGCGGCTGGGGGATCGGTGATCATTCCTCGAACCCCCCCACCCCAAAAATGGATTTCTCCTATTCCGCCTGCTTCTCTGTTCCCAGCACCGGCTCCCCCCGCCTTCTCGCTCCGGCGGGGCCGCCCGACCCCTACGGCGAGTCCCCCTACTGCTTCAAGTATGTCGCCCCCAGGATCGTCTCCATGGTCCTCTGCTTCGTCGTCATCGGCGCGCTTTTCACCTTGGCCTTCAGCCCGCCGCCTTCCCAGGACGAGGAGGACGAGGAGGACGAGGAGCCGGGGTGGGTACGGGGGAAGAAGGCGGCACGGGGGGCGCTCGACCCAGCCGTGCTGTCGTCGTTCCTGGTGGCGCCGTACGCCGCGGTGGCCGGCTCGGGGAGGGTGGGGCGGGACTGCCCCGTGTGCCTGGCGGAGTTCGGCGGCGGCGACGCTGTCAGGGTGCTGGGGAAGTGCGGCCACGGGTTCCACTCCGGCTGCATCGATCCGTGGCTCGCGGGGCACGCCACGTGCCCCGTCTGCCGGTCGGACCTGGGGGCGGCCGCACCCGTCGTCGTCGTCGTCGTCGCCCCGGGAGATCGATGACGGCGGGACGGAGGAGCGATCGTCTACGGTACAGCCTTGTCGCAACCCCCCAAGTTTTTGGGCTCCGGCGGATGGGGGAATGCAAGAGAACCTGCTTCGAGAATTCTTTTTTTTTGTACATGTTTTCTTTTTTACATAGTTGTATTTATTAGCGTATATGTTATTATTTTTATTTCTAAAAATTAGAAGAAAAAAAAACCAAATTTCATTATTTATTTATCAAGTGTTGCAATGAGCAACATTACGCCACTGTTTAACTATCCTGTTACGGCGGCCAAAATATGCAAGCAAGCATCGTGAACCACTTCACAATAGTAACTTGCCTGGCAAGAAGCAAACGACAGCTCTCTTTAAGCTTCAAGGAGCTGCACACACATCGGAACCTCTTAATTCCGATGTGTCAGATTGTCTGAATATATATATATATATATATATATATATACATACACAGAGACAGAGAGAGAGAGAGAGGATGGAAGCCGATCGGACGGCTCTCGTCTTCGTCTACGGCACCCTCAAGCGCGGCTTCCCCAACCACTCCCTCCTCGACGACCTCATCCGCGACGGCGACGCCACCTTCGTCGCCGCCGGCCGGACTGCCAGCCCATTCCCCCTCGTCATCGGCCCCCTCTCCATCCCCTTCCTCATCCGCCTCCCTGGCTCCGGCCGCCGCGTCTCTGGCGAGATCTACACCCTCTCCCCCCGCGGCCTCGCCCGCGTCGACGACCTCGAGGGCACCCACCGCGGCCACTACGAGCGCCTCGCACTCGCCGTCGTCCCCGTCACCTCGGGACGTGATGGTGCCGAGGCCGACAACGAGGAGGCGGCGGCGGCGGGAGCCGTGGAGGCGGAGGCCTACTTCGCTCACCGGAGCTACGCGGACGACATGTGGCGGCGGAACGGGGAGAGGGGGCTCGGCTCCTACTCGGAGGAGGACGCGAGGGGGTTTGTGAGGCCAAAGGATCGGCTGCCGGACACCACATTCCTGGGTGAGGTTCGACGATTTCTCGCCTCTCCGAATTAGATCGATTCACATCTTGTACCCAAATCACTACAGATTACAACTGCCCTTCTCGTGTTCTTGATTCTGTTATGGTACTCGATGGAATAATAAATCAGCGTTCTTTCTACGAAACTGCTGCATAAAGAACAGAAACCAACATATGAGCACAAACATACTGCACACATCTCAACTGATACGCTCAAATACCTTAACTAAAATTAAAACTGTCTATATAAATTATTCTATTGATATAAAATTTCTTTTTTTTTGTCAATTGGAGATAATATTATGCTCCTTAATTCAAAACTTTTACAAAATCTAACCCACCTAAGCAAATGAATCTTTGATGGTAAAATATAACCTAATCTCATGTAAGTCGAGATATATTTTTTTCCTAAAAATGATACTACAAATTTGTCTTCACCCATCAATCTAACTTAGATGCACAAACAAACTGCATCTCAACCGATACACACAAATTTCTCTATATCAGCTGTCACACAAATTTACCTAACATAAAGCTGCAAAGTATTGACCAAAGATCCAGAAATATGGCACATACCATGCAGCCATGTATGCAGAATAGAGGTCCTCGTTCTTTCATTCTGGGTAACTGAAGAATGCAGAGCTTTAAACAACCATGACTCTTGCAGCATAAGCAAGCATAGCAGAGTTAATGATCAGTTGGGTAGAGTTGACAGCCTCATTCTCGCCACAGCTTCCTTGATTTGCTTGATCATAAAACGCAGAATGATTCGTCATCCGCAAGCGCATCGATCACTGAATGGGTAACATCAACATCAATGATCAAAGCCCAGAGGCTTTGTAGGATTCTCAGCAGCAAGCAGCAGCCTTGGCATAACATCCACAGAATAAATGTGGAAGCATACAGTGACAAATTAAGAGAGAGTGACAGTATTATGAAGTATGAACACAGAGATAAGAGGAAACAGCATTATGCTATAAATAAAAACTTAGAACTGAATAAAGAACTTATCTCATAGCATTCCAACTCTTACAAGGAACAATAGAACTCATGACATGATTTTAACAAGATATTCTATATAACTTGTCATGAGATAGATTTATATAGTCGACCAGAGAAAAGATATCCTTCTGGGAATCTCAATGCAAAAACATCAAGTTTTCAGACTGAAGGGTAGTTAAATGATTTTTCACGTTCAAATGACAAAGCTTACCAAAATATTTTGCAGTGCATATTGCCAAAATAGTAGCTTCACTATTTAACTTCTTCATCTGTTCCTT